AAATATAGATTATAGGTGTTATCCATTTTATGAAATAGACGTTCATGTGCAAGTGTTATATTTTCGTCAAAATTCTCGATCTGCGCGAATTTCACTGTCTGGATATTCAATTTATAAAATGAGTGATTTCACTATATAAATGCGATATATTATACAATTTTTAGAGTTTTTTTTTTTTAGTATTAAATGTATTTAACTTGTTTATTTTATAATATTGTGTTATATTAGGTAAGCTAAAAAAATTCAAAAAGAAATACTTTAAGTTTATATTAATTTATGAAAAGGTTTTTTTTTAAAATAAAATAATTAAGGTATATTTCAATTCGTCAATTTTACAACTTATCTGAAGTTTAAGAAAAATTCATCAACCCATCTTAAAATTTTTAAGACATTTTAATCATTAGTATATAGTCAAATTACAATTAAAACAAAAGTGATATTAATTAACATTTTTAATTCGGTTGGAAATTGGTTAAAAATAGTATTGTATTATTTGTTAATAAATAAATACGTTTTGTTGGGAAGTCATATTTAATGAGTAAAATACTCAAAAACCATAAATACATTATTTTTAAATGAGAGCATAGACTTAATATTTATATACATTTTCAAGTAAAATATATACAGTATTGTATTATTCTGTAAACAATATTTTATTAGTTTTTAATAGTAATCAGTTGATTAGAATAACTCGAATGCAGTTGCGTGAATAATTGTTTATAAAATAAACATATTGTAATTGGCACATTCAATTTTTTAATAATATTCAATATATTTAGGTATTTATTATGTATACATGTAAATAACTTGATATGTCTTATTTATATTTTTATGTATGCATATTAATAGTGAAATTAAGAAGGTTTTAGATAAGTAATTTTTCTAATAAATTATACGTTTTATGTTTGATTATCTTTATAAAATATTTAATTCAATTTGATGTAGGTAGCATAAATCTTGACATATTTTATAAAGCCAATTGATTACTTAAATTTATTATTGCATTTTTTATTAAATTCGTTTGAATTGTGATTTAAGTAAACCAATTTTCTGCGTAAATTCAAAATAATTTTAATTTTTATAATTTTTAATTTTGTGGATAGGTTTCCAAACTTTATTATTTACATAATTCATTGATAATGATAAATGTTAAATACTTTTACATTGTTTTTAAATACCATACAAAATGGTAATTTCAAATAATAATAATATTTCAAAATTGGCATATTATTGATATTAATACAATTATACGAGTACATCAATGTATACACATAAATATTACTTATGGTAATTTTATTATGTTTAATATTATTACTATACCAAAAATGTATACGTTTAAAAAGATAATTTCTTATAATATTTTAATTAGCTGAACAAAAGACATTATTAAAGAGTTAATAAAAGATTAATGAGTTTAAATATATATTAAAAGGTATGGTAAAAATATTTCTTTTTTATTAATATGAGTTACATATTATATTGGTTAGGGTAATAGGGTTTGAAGATTTTAAATCGTTTTTGGTGTATTTTATTTTCTTCTTCGATATATATTTTTTTTTATTTTGTAACAAATATTTTCTGGCTAGTCTTCCAGGACCAAACACAGGTTCAAAGTGCATACCTACGCTAGCCCAGCATTTTGCGACCATTGTGGCTCATTATTGTACGGTATCATACATCAGGGAATGAAATGCGAAGGTCAGCAAATCTGAAACATACATTTTTTTTTTTTTATCATTTATCTATATTAATATATATTTATATTATTTTTAATTTCTTCGTTTTTTGAAAACAATACTCATGTGTTTGTATTCTTTTTATTTTGTTTGTTCTAAATTCTACCTGAATGCCTGCCTGTGTTCTCTACATTACTTTTTATAACATTATTTTAATTTTAATTTTTAATTACAATGAGCATTTAAGCATAGATTTGCTATTTAAAACCACTATACATACTCTTCTTTAAGCTTGCACGAGAGTTTTCAAAATAATAATCGCGATGCATTAACAAAGACGGTGGTGAGGTGTATGGAGAGATATTAGTAACCACCATTTCTGCGTAACCAATAGCCAACAGCCCTAATTAACTACTAATACATTTTGTATACGCAAAGCGTATACAACTTATATATATACATAACATAGTTTGGGAGATGTTCATTTTTTCCGGTTTAAATCATCTTCGAGGATATAACATAGTTACGATGGTTAGCCACAGATTCAAGTTTTGAAGTATATATATATAATATACTGTATAACTAATGGTTGATGTACAGAATTACTACTAAGTAGAACTTGGTGGAATGAAAAAAATCAAACATTGTCTTTTAAATTAAGTAGATATCGTGAGGTTCAAACAAAATAAAAAAATAACTTCGGGCTGAATTCTATTTAAACGGCTTAAAGTTTATTTATTAAATTTTTTATGGTTCAATACGTACCGATATATTGAAGAGATGTTTTTAATATTTACTTTATTATTGTATTTAATAATAATAATTTTTATTTATTTTTTTTAAGTAATATTATATTCTAATAGGATTCTTGTATTTTATGTTTTAAATTTAAAAATATCTCGTTTACGAGTTTGCTAAATTTCTTAACGTTAAATTGTGCAAATTATAAATATTGTTCTGATGGCATATAAAATTGAAATATAATATCATATTAATAGAATTATAGAGTAATCATTACGCTAATTGATGGAACAGTTAAAGAGTAGGTTATGTATGGTGTATCTATTTTAGTATTAATTTACTGATCTTTCAATGTGACACCTAAAATCGCATAATTTATTCTTTAGTTATTTTTTCTTAAAATTGTTTTGGACATAATATACGTAGTTTATAAATAGATAATAAAATATTTTATTTATGAGTTTATACATTTAGGCGCAGTCGTTGTCATATCTTGACACCGTCTGGGCGGCATGATAGCCCAGTAAAACAGTGCTTTTCAACATTTTATGCAATTAAATATGGCTAATATAGCATTAAATTTGATCGCAACGTTCTGGTATATTTTTGGATTTATTATTGAGTTATTGTTTTTAATAACACTAGCCATACGCAATGCATAGCAGAAGTATGTTGTGGCAGTATGTGTGACATTAGTTATTCATACAGTAATAGTACGGGTACAATACCATTTTGGGAACATTTGCTGAAATACGCCGCCCGGACTGTGTCAAGATATTTGATGATGATTGTAAATGAACTATATTAAATACCATTAAAATAGGTAATCACATTGGATTTATCCATATATTGTTACAAACTTGATTAATGTTTTTGATTTTTGAAAAATATAACTTATTAAACAATATGTATCATGTGTGGGCATACACCCATACTTGATACACGATTAAAACCATTTGATATTTAAACAATTTTAACTTAAACAATGTATAACATTAGCTTATTATTATAGTCTATGACCTCATTTAAACATTTTTCTTTAAAAATATATTTTTACAATTTTATAATTTTTCTTTTTTTTTTTTTAGTGGAAGTGTACTTTTAGATTAATTATTATAAGTTCTTATGCTCGATATTATCTTAATAAATTAAGTTTAATTATTTTATTATGTTTATGTATTTCTACAAATTAATACTTTATTTTTAAATTCGATTGTTTTATTTTAACTATGTGATACTAAATTCAGATTTAAATAATCATAATAGAAATGCTTATTTGAATATAGCTCAACGTATTATAAAATTTAAGTCTATTCTACTGCATAGTAAAATACAACTTTTATAGAATACGTCATATTTAAGAATAATAATATTTTTTTTTATAGTCGTAAAAAGTTTCCCTAGTTCTTGTAAAATACTCTTAAAATCACGAATATCCAATATCAGCGGTTCTTAACCTATGGTCCGCTATACTCATGTCAGGGATCTGTGACAGTCTTAACACATAACGTACGTTACGTACAATACGTCAATGCGTGACGTATTTTAAAAGAAAAGTATTTGAAAAAAAATTGGTAAGGTGTCCGTGTTTTATAAAAATGTTTGATCAGGGGTTCGTGATCTACAAAAGGTTAAGAACTCTTATCCTATATATTTATTATATGTTTTTTCTGTCGACCTGGTAGTAGACCTATTATGATCTGAATCGTTCATTTAATGACTAAGATTTTAGAGGCGCATATATATGTATGTTTCTGCTAATTGAGGTAAATAATGATCTTTTTCTCTTGATAATTCACTTTCTATAGTAATTTTTAGCTCTCAACCGTCTTAGTCAACTTAGCCACTCTATTTCTTATTTATATATTTACTGGATATCCTAAGAAACTTTTTAAATTTATAAGGTAAAACTCATAAAGTTATAACACAAATTTTATAGAAAGTAATAATGACACTTCAATTTTTTTTTACAAAACTACTTTCTCGTATAAATCAATAATGTATTTATTTAAAACTAAATAAGTAATTTTTTTTATTATTATTATATGCTATTTTAATTTAAAGAAATTATAATTGTTTATTTATCATTACTGATAATAACCAAGAATTATAAATTTGGGAACATTTTACATTTTTTATTGTGCCTAAAATATTGTTCCTCACTAAGAATAAATCATTTTTATTTCATATCAACATAAATATTTTAAATGTTAAATCATTTGATGCTGCTTACTGAAAAAAAAATCTTAAGTACACTTCCTCTCGGCAGACTTAAATTATTTTCATAGATTTAAAATATTTCAGTAGTTTAACTAGTTTATTTGGTTTTATCTTTTGTTTGGTTTATAAAATTGTATTATTGTCATTCAGTTTTTATTTTATTTTTGTATGTGGTCATCCTGACGTATGGCTCGTTTTTCTTTTTGCTATTATTTGTATGAAACATTTGATTAACGATTAATTTCCAAATATAACTTTATTGTAATAAAAATACAAAATAAATAAACGAAAAAAATAATTGACTAAACTCAGTACGTCCTTAAAATATCCAATTTTGTTATCTTGATGAACGGATATATCTAGGCCGAAACGGCGAAACATCAATGGGATCTTCATACGTATATCACACCTTCTTTTTGCGACCATTGTGGATCTATGTTGCACGGCATTACCCATCAGGGTCTCAAGTGTACAGGTTAGAAAAAAACTAAACCAATAAAACACATACTTTAAAATCAACTTTAAACAAAATTAGATTTGTCTAATAAGTTTAATTTTTTCAAAAGGTATAGTTATAATTTGTTTTTGTTTTCATTTTTATTTTGCTTTATTTTAGTATTTAAACGAAACATGTCACATAATAATTTAGTATTAATCGACACGAATAGAAACTATTAACTTTTGTATTTAAATAATTTTAAATCATCTACATGTATTCAAATCTTCAATTATTTGTTTATTTTAAATATTTATTTCGTGAAAATAATATTAGCCTTATTAATATAGCTCTTCAAATTTTTCATGCTGATTTATAGATTTAGGTACTGATAGTATCATTATAATTACCTTTAATATTTGTTCTATGATACCTTTGCATGACAGTCTTATAATATTTTATGCATGACGTTTTTACCGTATATTTTATTTACTATTTTTTGAGCTTAAACTGTATTTTAACACGATTTGTTTAAAGTAAAATTATTTTTATACTTTAATAATGTTATTTAAATTGAAAATTTTATATTGTACTTAAACAAATTAGCATGTGATATGAATGTACATAAGCGGTGCCAAGAGAGTGTTCCGAATTTATGCGGTTGCGATCATACAGAACGACGTGGACGAATAGAAGTGAAAGTCACGTGCCACGGAACAAAGCTTATCATAGAAAGTAAGTAATATTAGTTTAATTTAAACTTAGGCATGACACCATGAACATATTTTGTATTTTATAAAAAATAAATATGTATAAAAAATGATACATATTAATTAGAAACTGTATTGCAATCATGTGGTTCAAATAATTCCTGAACTTGATTGCAAATTCTTTATAAACTTTAAATGAGGTCAACATATTTCAATCTTTTATTTTAACAACAAAATAATTTGGAGATGTTGGTTTTAAAACTTTATTGAGACTACTTCAGTAATATTATATTTTATATGAATAAACAAAACACGTTAATTAATAAATTATATAGACAGTTTTAACTGACATAATTACATAGACATAAATTATGTTATATTTGGTAGTTATTTCAATATTTATTGCCTTAAATATTTAATTTTAGTAATTTTTTTATTAAATATTAATTTGATAAAATGAAACTATGACTTCTTATATAATAATTATTATAAGTATGCAGTTTTGAGTAAGTCTTTTTTTCCTCAGAGGTTTAATGTTATAATTGGTATTTATCCGTTTATATATTTGATATCAAAGTTTGATTATTTTGGTTCTACTGAGCTTAAATCACGTAACGTTCGACTGATTTTTAATTTGACACGAAAATATCTGTTAGTTACTAACATATTATATATGCATTTAATCAATTATCTAATAAGTGTGACACTTTTAGAAGTATATTTATGGAAAAATAATGTGGAAAATGCATATAAAACTCATTAAAACCGATAAAATATATAATTATAGAGTTTGTTTTTAGGTATTTAATATTGATAATATATATAGAAAAATTTAAATTAGTAGACTGACTCAATGTGTTTTAAAATTTGAAACGTTTTACGTATATATTTTTATATTTATTAAAATAATTCAATAGTATTTAGAAACATTTTATCTGTTATACCATGCTTTTTATTTATTAAAATATTAAATATTTTTATAATTAAAGATGAATATTTACAAACTCAAAAAAAAAAAAAAATTAAAATCCGGGAAGTCGTTTTGCTAATTAATTAAGATAGAGTATACCTCGTCAACGAGTTGGTGGGCAATTCATTAAAATAGATATGTTAAATTTGAGGTCAATGATAATTCATAAAATCATAACTTATGAAAAACTATTCTTAGTGGATTTTTAATTATATTTAGTATATATGTTTCTGTTAAAAATTGTAATATTTTAATATTGTTATAAAAATATATTAAACGTGCAAATTGATATTTGTTCAAATAAATAGTTTTCATTAATTATGGACACGAAAAATATCAATATCATAATATCGTTTTTTCCTTTTTATTATTCTTTTTTATACCTGTCAACCTATTCAAAATTGATTAAAAAATGTCGTCGGTTTATAACCAGTGAAAAATGGCTTTGTTATCCATTTGATAATTGGAGGTATTATTTTTGGAAAAAAACATTTTCCTTTATAGATCTTTATTTTGTAATGATACCTTTTAGGTCGTCATACTTTTAAATTTATAATACAAAAATTATCTATTTCTGCTAAAGTTTGACAGATAAAAATATTTTATCTCGGATTTTCTCTAGATCCCGTGGGAATTAAAAAGAAAATACTTTCAAACATTTTAATTTAGATTAATTATTTTTATTCTTTTGTAAATAAGTTTTATTGGTTTTTTACTATATTAATCCGTACATTTTTTTATTTAAACTTTTTTTAGAAAACGTATTTATTTTATATTGAATCATTTTTTTTTTCATATATAAAATAAATTTATCCTGGATTTCAGATAATTTTGTTTTGATAATTAGTTTGTGGGGAACATAATAATTGTTTGATTTTAAGTTTCTATGTAAAAATTATATTTTGGCAATCAAATAAATATTATAACAAATTGTTTAGATATATTTATCAAATTGCAGTGAACAATTATAAATTGTTATATCAATAAATTCAAAATAGCATACGTTATTATTAACTCTAGTTCTTGTATTTTAAGATAATATACTTTTTAAGACAAGTATACAAATTCAAATATAAATTTATTTATTGTTTATAAAATAGTTAACATAGAATGTTTTGTAAACCATAAAATATTTACAGAGATCTATAACCTAAATTCTAAATAAATAAAAAACAAAAACTAGGAATATTGAGATAGTTTTTATTGATTTTTATTTCTCGAGTTATTTGATTTCCAAGAAATCGGGTGGCATATGAGACCAAAAATAAAATCAAAGCATTATTCAATTGATATACTATAATTTAAGTATTTGAAGAGAAGTTTGGAATACATTTATTTTGTTGTTACATATTTTTAGGTAAATAATTGAATATTTTTTGTCAATAGAATATTTATTTTATTATAGATTGGACGAGTTAAGGTATATATGCGCGTTTTGTGTAGTCATAATAAAAGGATAAAAAACAAAAATCCTGATATATTTCTCCGAGTTGAGATAAGATTTCATGCATCACTAGGCCTTATCGTAAATGTTTCAAGCACGACAGTATAAGCTTGATAGTTAAATGCACGAGACTTATTTTTTTAGTTGGTTGCTCGACTTTGATTTTAGCGTGAAAGAGTGTAAGGTTTATGTTGATTTACGAGATATATTTTTTAACTATTGTTTTTAGTTGGCATCTTCTTGATTAAAAACTCACGTTAACGTATGGGAATAATATATTAACTACCTACAATATTTCTGGAAAGATTTTTATCAACCTACTTTAATACTAAAAGAAAAATAAATGATTTTAACACATCATGAAAAAAACTTAGTGATATAGGTTAATACTCTATCAGACTATCTTAACTTAGAATCGTTTTTCGTTTATAATGATATATCATTAAATTTAAATTTAACACACCCGTAATAGTAATCGACACCTAATGTACATTAAAGTGGTACCTACTTACATACCATTTTAATATTCATTTTTGGTTTATCTTATATCGATTTCTTTCTATTCTATGAGATGAGTTATTTATGATACCAAAAGTTCTTGGATTTACATTTCTTATTCCATCTATTTTTTTTTTTTTTTTAGTTTATTTATTCAAATTGTTGATGTTATCCTTTCCTTTAAAATTTTAATTATCTGTTATATATTTCTTTTCAAGAAATATAATATAATATTATATTTATGCTTAATCTCGTCATATTAACTATACAGTATACACCCATGTACATATTCTTATTTCTATTATACCATATAACTAACATTTTTTTTTAGACAAATTTATATTAGTTAATGAATTTTATACTTGATAATTTGAATTATTTTTTTGTCTAAAAGAATATGATCTATGATAATTTATAAATAAGTTTTCTAAAAACTTATTTAGTTTTTAATAAATCTAAATATTATTATTATTTATTTTAACTTATAAAAAATGAATTATAGATACCTATAATTAAAACTATCTTCGTACTTTAAAATGATTAATGTTTATTGGATTTACGTTGTATATTATTGATGACTTAATAGGTTTACGCTCTTAATGCTTTTATAATATTATGTACACATTGAAATCAGAATAATATAAACATTTTCGTTTAATTTTTTTTTTTATTCATTTTATAAATTTTCAATATAACTATCAATATGAAATTTAAAATAAATATAATATATTCTTTTAAAATATTCATTTACAATGTGCAGTGTAGATTTGGCAATATTTTATTTTATGAATAGGTGAATATTTATAATTGTATTAAATATAATATTATGTTACTTTTCGTATTACATTTTGTATGCTATATACTCGTAGTGATCATGTTAGAGATTGCATTTTAATAATTTTTAGGTATACTGTATACATGCATGGTCTAAATCAGAGATGGGCAACTCAAAGTAATTAGCGGGCCACTTTTAAGTACTTTGAAATCTAGCGAGCCGCAGTGCATAGGAGAAATCAAAAAAAAAAAAGTCCTTCAAATTTACTAACATTTATTTTTTATCTTTATTTATTTATATTTACAATTATTATTTAATATGATACTTGAGGATGAGGTTTTTCAATAGACAATTTAGTAAAATCCACTTCTATTTCTGTAGTTGAAACTCTTAGTAAATGACCCAAGGTTTCATCTGTTAAACGATTTAATAATTTAGTTTCGGTTTAAAACTAGATAAGAATTTATATCCACATTTTATCGAAAAATGTAATAAAATAAGATAAGATACAGATAAGCACTAAAATTATATGAAGTAATTTGAAAATGTAGCGCAGGTCGCAAGTTGCCCATCTCTGGTCTAAGTTGTAAACGGGCATATATGTGTTTTGGGCATATGGCATTTGCTTAGCAGAACCGACAAAGCGATTGCATAATTTATTGTTTTAAAAAAAAATTCACAATGCCTAACATTTTGATCATGTATAATTTTTTCGGTTTAAGTACAAATACCTAAACTGTATAATTTTTGGATACAACCATTGTGTATTTTTGTTGTTTTTTATTTCGTTCACTTACCCTTGGGGCTTTGAAATTGAAAAACCTAATATCTATATTACATTTTCTCTGAGTAAATTAAATTACTGTTCATAAAATTATATACCTACAGTTATACTTTCATAATTCGTTTTAGCTCTACTGTAGTTAATACCTAATGATTAATGAATGATGAACGATGGATCTATTGTTTTTAATTTTTAAAAATTTCGATATTTTTAAAACTGTCTTTATACGATTCATGTGTGGATTCAACATCTTTTCTTTTTTTATGGTATGAAATTTCGAGTACTTATCAGAAGCTATAGATGATTGCTTGCAACACCGTCTTATCATAGTAACGGAATATACGATTGTAAACATAGTCAAACAATAAAATATTTTTGTAAAAACATATTATTATTAAAAACTATCTTGATTTAGTTTTTGAGGAAAAATTTAACAATATACCCATTAAATCAATTACTGTCATTTTACATTTACAAGACATTTTTCTAGAATTGTCAATCAATGTCCATATGAATAAATAAAATTTATAAAATTTTGAATTGTTATATAGAAT